AAAACTGCTGAAGTAGACAAAAAGCTTTGGGAAAAATAGTATCTGCCTCCCCACAACCCCCTTCATGAACTCTTTAGTCTGATTATTGAACACGAGATAAGTAAAACCCAAGCATGTTTGCTCTTAATTAAAGCTCTTTTCATAATGGACCCAGAGGCACCACTTAAGAGTGTGCAAACCAGATGAGATGAATAGTAAGTGTTCTGGTTGACTCCCTCAAAGATGATCTATGCATTTTTGTTTTGAGAAATGGCCGGTAGGAACTTAAACAAGAATCTTCAACACTTAGGAGGAAAGTATATATGTTTGTTAATTATTCTAATGTATTTGTGTTTCCACAGCACGGGCTTTACAAAGAAACTGCCACATGGATTGGGAGTGAGGGAAGGAATAAGATGGTGTTCTCGCCGACAAAGAAATAAATGTATGACACTCACCCCTGAATTTTCTTAGCACTCTCTCAGTTCTAATTTTCTTGTCATCAACACACATGGCTTATGTTCCCAAGTAGATTATAAATTCCTAGTCATATGTTTGTTGTGTGAATAAAAGAAACTAGAAAAATGATAGTACTCATTTCAGAAAACAGGAAACCTGAACAGGATCCCATAAAACTTGAAAACAAATGCTTCAGTCGGCTTTTTAGATACAGGAACAAATGGAGGGGGGAAAGCTGCTAGTCTAGATTTAGTTTCAAAAACAACCAGTCAAACACAAATAAGCAAATCATCCAGTTTTAGAGCTTTGATTCCATGCCTAGCCTACTCTCTATTTTTATAATTTATTTGTTTGACTTTGGGTTTTTAACTTTTCTGATTGTTAGTTTTCTTACCTGTATTAGAGTTAAGCAATTAGTTTTAGGCATTGTGCAAACATCTTCACACATTATTCCTTTTAGTCTTTACAACAATACTATGAAATAGATATTATTTCCTCTTATACAGATGAGGAAAGTGAGGTGTAGAGAAGCTAGGTAACTTGTCCAACTTGATACAACTAGTAGAAGACTTAGGTCAGAATCATGACATTCTGATACTAATGCTCCAGGTAGTTGTAAGGATTAACTAAGATAATGGTTACATAGTAAGGGCTTAGCAAATGATCCAAATCCAACAAATATTTTTTGTGAAAGCTTCTATTATGTGCCATGTACTGTTCTATGCTTTTAGGCTATAGAAATTAATAGTAAAGACAAATTCCATGGACTTATGAAACTTAAAATGAGGAAGACAGATATTAAAAATTTTAATATTCCACATAGTGATGACTACTATGAAGAAAAAAGAGGCAAAGTGAAGAATAGAGAGTGATGAATATGGGGAGACTATTTCAAGGTTTCTCTGATAGTGCAACATTTGAGCAGATCCTTGAATAAAGTGAGGGGCAAGGTGCATAGAAATTAGTGGGAACAATGTTTCAAAAAGATAAGCAAGAGAAAAAATCTTAAAGTATTCAAGGAACACTAAGGCATTCAGTCTGGCTAGAGTGGAGTGAGTTAAGGGGAGAATACTGGGAGATGAAATCAGAGAAATAGGGGCAACAGCATGAAGGGCCTTGAAGACCACAGTAAAAACTTAGTATTTTATTCTAAAAGGCCCAGTGGATGGAATTCGTGCACGAGTAGGGTCCCTAGTGGCTGCCGGCCAGGGCCTCCCTTCCCCAGCTGCCGGCTGTCGGCTGAGGCCTCCCTTCATTCTATGCTGCCTCCTTGTGGTCAGCACACATCATAGAGAGTGATTGAACTCTCGGTAGGTCCAACTCCTGAGGGGACACTTTGCATATTAGATATATATATGAAATGGGAAGCTATTGTAAGATTTTTTAGATTTTTTTTAAAGCAGATGAATAACCTGGTGTAAATTTTAAAATAAGAAATACTCTTCTTGGCTGGCCTGGCTCAGTGGTTGAGCGTCGACTTATGATGAACCAGGAGGTCACAATTCAATTCCCAGTCAGGGCACAAGCCCAGGTTGTGGGCTCAATCCCCAGTGTGGGGCGCGCAGGAGACAGCCAATCAATGATTTTCTCTCATTGTAACCCTACCCGCCCTTCCTGCTGTAGTTTGACAGTCTGTTCGATGTTGCTCTGCCTCTGTCTTCTCTCATCATTGATGTTTCTATCTCTCTCTACCTCTCCTATTCCTCTCTGAAATCAATAAAAATATATTTTTTTAAAAAAATAAAATCAAATAAAGAATACTCTGGCTGCTTATTCAATTGTAGGGCAAATTATTAGACTGAAGGCAGGTTGAAGGTAGATTGTTATAGAGGGAACAATTGATGATCAAGAAAGAGGGGAGAGTTATGGTTATTTTACTGATTCTTTATCACTGCTACTAATTATTACAGCAACTGTATGATAAAAACTAATATTTAAAATTCATTTCCCAAAGCTTTATAAATCCCTCAATTATATCGATAGCCAATGTTTTTGAGTGTTTACTGTATGGGAATATTTCAAGCACTGTCAATTGTCATTATCCCCCCTAAACCCCTCAATGTGTCTGTTATCACCCCGTTTAACATATCAGAACACATCGCTCAGCAAGCAGAGTTGCGAGTTTGCCAAGGGTCACACAGCTGGGTTTAAAACGAAACCCAGGTTTGGCTGTCCTCGGAGTTGGCTGTTAATCTCTGTTACACTGCCTCTAGTCAACTGCTTATTTGCTTCACTTGGGAAGCATATTAGACTGTTTTCTTGTAGAGATTTCAACAGATAACTTCTTGGTTATTCCAAAGTTAACCGGAAATTTTATATCTTAGTGAAGGTGTGGTCTTTATCAAGATTTTCCAGTCCATATACCTTACTTTTCACTTAAACATAAATCTGAAATCTCTGTGAATGACACTGCACATTGTGTAAGTGAAAGGGTCATTTTAGGACAGCAAGACAAATGATCCCTTATTCTTATAGGTGTCTTTAAGGCCAGCATATTGTGGAAATATTAAAAGATCTCTTACCAAGTTTTGTGTTCTTGGGCAGATTATTTAAGATTTATTAGTTACAGTGTTCTTATCAGTAAAATGGAGATCCCGTGTACCTTGTAGGATTATGGTACACTTGAGGAATCATGTGTGTAAATTGCTTTGCACAGTGCCTGGCACAGAGTCAGGCAGCACTTAATAATGCTGACTATTGCTTTTCTTCTCTCAGTAAGCTTGGAAAAGGCAGTTCTTCGTTTCCAACTGAATTCCAAAGAGCTTTGAGAAACTTACTGGGCTAAAGGAATTGCTTAATTGGAAGAAAATATTTGAGGATTGAACAGGAAACTATATTTAGAATGCTGAGTTGTAAAGAGACTGTCTCATGCTCCAGTTTTACTCAACCCAATTTCAGCTGGGCACCAGGTGAAGCACGTCCTTCCCATGACAGGGGTAGCTCACCTAGACAGCTGGTTCAGTTTATCTTATAAAATCAACACCTTCATGAAGCTAACATTTTGAAATTGTGCTATATTGTCAATGACCTAATCTCAGTGTTATTTAAGCTTCCTACAGCAGTAGAATCCCTTCTTATGAAGGTCCAGTTCAGCCTTCTGCTCAGCAATTTCCCTTCCTTACCTCAAGTGGTCCCCAAGGCACAGAAATGCCACTTTAGGATTCTGTGGATCTAGTTTGAAAATCACTGGCCTAAACTATCTGGCACTAAGAACATAAAAAAAAAATGCAGCTTTCAATCATATTTATCAATCATATACTTTTTTCCAGGCATTGTGCTAAAAGTAGTGATATGGAGACTATGGTGGATAAATTAAGCCCAGCCTGAAATTACATTGGCTTTAAGCAGAGGGAAATTTATTGTATCAAATGACTAAGTCCAGCACTAGAGTGGTCGTGGAAGGCAATGTAATCTCTCCCCAGGGTGCCCATGCCCTAATTCCTTAAACCCATGAATATGCTATATTACATGGCAAAGGGAAATTAAAGTTGCTAATAAGCTGACCTATAATAAGGAGATTATACTGGGTTATCTGGGTGGGTCAAATATAATCACAAGAGTCTTTAAAAGTGGAAGAGGGGGGCAAAGAGTGATGGAGCAAAAGTATCAGGGATTCAATGCAAGACTGAACCTACCATTGCTGGCTTTGAAGATAGAAGAAGGTCATGAACCAAGGAATGTAGGTGGCTTCTAGAACCTGGAAAAGATAAGAAAATGGATTCTTCTCTAGAGTTGTCAGAAAGAAATTTCAGGCCTGCTGACACCTTGGTCTTACCACAGTGAAACCCATTTTGGACCTCTGTCCTCTAGAACTATAAGATAAAGATGTGTTTTTGTTTAAGCAACCAAGTTTATAGTAATTAGCAGCAATAGAAAATTAACATAGTAGCCTTCAGGTTTTGTTAATTCAGCAATTCAAAGAATCATGAAGGGCATAAAGTAAGACATATAGACAAATAGAATGGAATTGAGATTCTAGAAGTAAACTCATATTTTTATGGCCAATTGATTTTTGACATGGGTACCAAATCCATTCAATGGGGAAAGAATATTCTTTTTGACAATGGTGTTGGGACAACTGGATTTCCACATGCAAATGAATGAAGTTAAACCTTTACCTTATACCATACACTAAAATTAACTTAAATTGGGTAAACAACCCAAATATAAGAGTTAAAGCCACAAAACTCTTGGCAATGGACTTTTAGATATGATACCAAAAGCAAGAGTAACAAAAGAAAAATAGGTAAATTAGATCTCATCAAAATTAAGAACTTCTGGGTATCAACGAACATTGTTAAGATTAAAAAGACAATCTACAAAATATTTGTAAATTATATCTGTGATAAAAATCTATATCCAGAATGTATAAAGGACACCTAGAGCTCAACAACAAAAAGAAACAATGAAATTAAAATTTAGGCAAGGGCTTGAATAGACTTTTCTTCAAGAGGTACAAATGGCTAATAAGTTCATGAAAAGATGCTCAACATCATTAGGCATCAGGGAATTGCAAATCAAAACTACAATGAAATACCACTTTACACCTACTAGGATGACTATAATAATATACTTTTAAAATGAAAATAATGAATATTGGCAAGGATGTGGAGAAATTGGAACACTCCTATGTTTTTGGTGGGAATGTAAAATGCAGCTGCTATGGAGAACAGTTTGGCAGTTACTCAAAAAGCAAATGCAGAATTACCATGAGCAGCCATTTCACTCCTAGGTATAGAACCAAAAGAATGGAAGGCAGTGACTCAGATACTTGTATGTGAATGTTCCTTGTGGCATGGTTTATAATAGCCAAAGGGTGCAAATAATTCAAGTGTTCATCAAAAGATGAATGGATAAATAAATCCATGTAGGTACAATGAAATATTATTCAGCAATAAAATGGAATGAACTTCTCATACAATGAAGTTCTAAGGGACTTTTTAAACAAACATTTATTAGGCTGTGATTTTTAGAATCAATATTTTAATTCTTTTCTGAAATCTATTTACAAATATTTCTATATAACACAAAGCCAGTGATTTAATAAATAAGAGGAATGTATGTATCAGTTTGTAAATAAAATAAGCTGTATACATTTAT